TTATCTTACCCTTTATATACTTTAATTCAAAAACACTTTACGTTTACAGGTTATTTAGGATCCATACCACAGCTGCAGAGACCAGCATCCATGTAACCCGGTTACGTTCTGCCATGGATGCTTAAAGTGCTTAGACGTTGTCGAACCCTATCATCCAGATAGAGTTCTGAGGCAGTTTGGTAAGGTTCAAACCATCCCAGATGCACCGCTAGCTCCCAGTCGTGGTGCTCGAGGCAACATATCTGCACGATATACAATCATGTATAGATACTTGGATAGGATTTGGGAGGTTTGGGATAACCATGTATTATCTGAGCAATGGAGGAGCACACCAGTTCGTCAGTCGTGGGAATGTGTACCGGGTTACATGGATTGGTATAAGAATATCACGCACCTATATGTTGAGCACACTGATGAACCGTATGTCCATGACCGTCAGGATTTCAGCCAACATGCCGATGTAATATATTATCCTCTTTTATGCATTTGTAACTTACTTTGTATTTTTTGATATGTTCCATAAAATGTGATATTCTTTTCAAATGCAGCGTATTGCACATGCACTGCAGATTTCACATCTTATTATTGACGTTGGTTATGAGGAGGGGATTCGACATCCTTATCGACTTTACCAGGCTATCGAGAGTATGACGCATGTCCTTGAAGGTCAGCACATTGACGAAGCTGGACCTAGTTCTGCTGGACCTAGTTATACTGGAGGTCGCTTTCCATCTTCGACATTGACATACAGTCATAGGCCTAGGCGTAGACATACAACTGATTCGTGACATGTTATTTGTTAGTTGGTGGATTTTTTTTGGTGTTTTTTTGTAAGATGATATTGTTGTAATGGTAACAATGGTTAATATTTTCTTATTAGAATGGAATGGCAACAATGGTATTGTAATGACATTGTAATGACATTTTATTATTAGAATGGAATGGTAACAATGGTCGTTTATTTTGTAAATGATATTTTCTTATTACAATGGAATGGTAACAATGGTCGATAACATTCAATCCAGATTGCAAAACAGAACACATCAACATCAAAAACACATCCATTAATTTCTTCCATAATTCTAACATTGTCAAATGCATACATGTGTCATGCGACATCAACAACATATGTCATACTTGTAAGGAACCAACTAAGTACCCATGACGTACTTGACTGCATCAGGATAACTACTGAATTCCTTAAGTAATGATTTAAGATGCTTATCGTATTGAATTTCAGAAGATGAATACACTAAAGAGTTTCACTCATGGTTGAACTTCTCTCATTTCTGCTGTGTCTCAAACATTTTCTTGCATTTGGTCAATACATTCTTACTGATATGCCAACGACATAATAAATGTCTGCCACTCGGGAATATCTTCTGTATGGCATTCATCAAGGCTAGCTCTTTGTCAGTAACAATAATTGTTGGCACAACAAAACCATCCATGACATCACGCAATATAGCTAACACCCACGCATAGTTATTGACCCTCTCATACTGTAAGTATGTGAAAGCTACAGAGAATGTCATTTCAGTTGATGTCACTCCCACAATTTCAAGAAGTGGAAGACGATATCTGTTGGTTTTATGTGTACAATCCATAATTAATATACACGGGAAAGACCGAAATAAATCCAAAATGGTAGGATGTGCCCAAAACAAGTCTGTCACAGTCATCGTGGACTCTTCAGACCGATGGCGCTCAATGTAATTATACTTGGTCAATTCACCCAATAAGTGTTGCATCTGTGATCTTCCAGCTCTCTATACCACCCTGTTTCAATGGCGTATATTGTAAATGGTTTTAAGTGTGTTTACATTGAGGGCATCTCACTGTTTCAAGGTTATTAGGATTTTTTTTGGCCGAACCATGCTCTTTGACATATCCATTATCAATGCTTTCTCATCCTTTGATAGCCTCCCCGCATATGAATGTTCCTCAAGGTGCTCCGCAGGTGGATGATTATGCAATCCGCATACTACGGTCAATGTCCATTCATCATGTATGGTAAACCTATGAGCCCTCATATCAAAAGGACAACCACACTTCTTCGTACCAGTTATTCTTGATGTATTGTTGCCATCATGTTTTAACTTCTTTGTCGCTCTATATTGGCCACTTCTCTCACAAGCAAGATACATCCTAGGTTTTTTTTTTTCCCTCCACCATAGTCTGATGTTTTGATTACAATGACCAAACCATTTCTCTTTCCAACTTCACGTACCCAGTTGAGCAATTCATCTTTACTTTTGAATACCTACAAAGTCAAATAAATATTATCAAACATTTACAATTGGTGAGCAATTCGAAACATAATCATTATAATTTCGTAGAGTGAACTTGTTCAGTTGTGAATTGAGTAGTGTAATCCAACACAAAATCCGTGCAAACCTGACTTCCTTGAGTTGACACATATTCCTACATGTTTTGTATAACATTAAAAATTTTTAATGGCATTATAAAGATTAATTTGCAATTCAAAACTGTAAATTTGGTATGCAGTTTGCAAATTTGGAATATAAAATGGAATTTTTTTTTTTACTTCATTCGGAAGTAGTTGTCCGAATTTATTTTCAAATTTCGGAAGTTGAATGTTGTAAAAGTTAACTTTGTTCGGACAACAACTTCCGAATTTAAATACTTTGTTTGGACAACAACTTTCGAAATTTATTATTTTGTTCGGACAACAACTTCCGAAACTAAACACTTATTTCGGTAGTAGATTTCCGAACCAAACAATACAATTCGACTCTGGTTATCCGAACGACGCCGGAAAAAAAAAGAAAGAAAGAAACTCACATTTCCTTCGCTATGTTTCTCATAAACACTTATTTGCTGATTTTCAGAAGGCAAATCCTCCATAATAATGATGTTTTCCCTATCCCTATGAATGAGGAAGGTTGATGAATGAGTGCATTGAGAAGCTACGAACTTGGAGCTTAATGAAATAAGTTACGAACTTGGAAGAAGATAGGAATGAGTGAATACTCTTCTTTCACTTCTAGCTCAATGAAGCTACAAACTTGGACCCACGATGCAACAGATGTGAATTGGAGATGGATGTGCAACAGATGTGAACTAGAGATGGATGTATGCATTGAGATGTTTTGAATCAACAATGATGTCTAAAATAGTAATTTCACTTAGGGATAAAATTGTAATAAAATTAAATATCATTAAGTGTATGTATAGAGGGGATTTGGTGTGTATAGATAGAGCCTCCTGCGTCCATGTTTTGTAACGCATTTTTGTATTAGGATAAATTACAAAAATGTTCCCCCTCCCCAAACATGATTGGCCAATTTTTTTTTTTTTTTTTTTTTTTTTTTCTAATCACCACTTGCCACGTATGTGTGGGATAATGGGAGTGGTGATTGGAGGGGGTCTCTATCAAAGCTGGATAAATTATACTCACATATGTTAAAATTTATAAAAAATATTACTTTTATGAGAATTTATTGGCTTATTATTTTTTTAAGTATTTGTATCTTAATTAATTTATATAATATATCTTTGTATTTTAATAAATCTTATTATTTAATCATTTGATCTATTACATTCTGATTCTTATATTTAAGTTATTTTTTGAATAATTTTACTCTTACAAATATTTTTCAATAATGATAGGAATACTAATTAGTATACCAACTAATATATCAAGTAGATATAATATTAGATAGGACCATGTTAAGTGGTGGAACCCACATGTATGCCTTGTATTAATTGATATATTAATTAGTGTTTCTAGCAATACTCAATATTTTTTGAAATTTTAGCAATTTGGTGATATAAATATTTATATTTGACAGTGTGAATGTTCATATCACAGAACATTCACACTGTTAATTTGAATATTAATGCATGTTTTGTCTTTTATTATTACAGTTATATTGGTAACTATATCACTTATAAGACTTAATAGAATATAAGAAAATAATTTGAACTAACAGAAATATAACTAGATGAAGAGGGATTTATAAATAAATATCTCTACTTTCATATTTTTGTTATAATTATACTAATTTCTCTTTTAATATATTTTAATCGATTGAAACTAATACTAAAAGTATGGATAAATTAAAATAAACAAAGATAAACATAAATTTTAATAAGAAAGAGATGATAATATTATTTTTTTATTCATACGATTAATAAATTATTAATAAAATACCGCTCAAATGTTATTCCCAATCCCGAAATATTAGTCATTTATTCAACTTTATATTATCTCAAAATATTAGTCAATTTTCAAAAATTAAGAAATAAAATAATATGAGTTTTCTATTTACTCCTTTTAAATTCATACACAAAAAGTATAATTAAATGATATTTCCCAAAAAAGTCAAAGGGTAATTTTAGAAAGTTAGCATTTTTAAAGTATAATAATTATACTATCAAAAAAGTTAAATTTTTTTAAAAGAGATTAATATTTTGAGACGAAAAGAGTATATAAATTAAAAGCTTAACAAATCAGTATTATCATATAAAAAATGTATAACTAATTAATATATATATATATATATATTTTTTATGCTGATCTGACCACAAAAATAAATAAAAAAAACAGCAATGTTACGCCTGCTAATTTATTACCTTTAAATCATCCCTAATAATATGACATTGAGATTAGATTCCACATGATAAAATATTTGACAAATTTAATACTTATTAGACACATTATTAAAAATAATAAATTAAATATCTCAAGTATTTTTTTAATTTTAATTTGCCTTTGTATTACTACAAGGCCTCATTTGCCAATTTGATATTTTAACTAAAAAGTTAAAAAAAATATATTATATAATATTATTCTTTTTATTTTTTCATATATCTTTTTTAAAAGAATCAAGAAAAAAAAAAAAAAAATTAAAATAAGATGTTCTGAAACCAAACCTTACTTGTTTGGCAAAAGCGCTTTTAATCCGACCGAACAAAGTCACACGCAGTCCTCTCGTCTTATCCTTCAGTCATTCATCCGGTGTTTTCCACTCTCTCTCTCTCTCTCTCTCTCATTCATCCTGTGTTTTCCACTCTCTGTCATTCTCTATAAGACACCTCTTCTTGCCATTCTCTAATCTCTCTCAAAACCACAGTTTAATCCTATATATATCTATATATAAATCCCATTTACTCTTTCTCTCTCTCTCTCTCCATTTACTCCATTACAATCCAGAAGGAGAGCTGTGTGTAATATGGCTCTGAATTTGCTCTCCCCAACTGAAATCAAAGCCATATCATTCTTGGACTCCTCTAAATCCAACCATCAACTTCTCAAGCTTCAAGGTCCCTCTTCTCTCTCTCTCTCTCTCTCTCTCTCTTCCATATCCATTTTGTATTTTTAATTTTGAGCTACTGTTTTTTGTTGAATTCATTTACTTGTGCTGTGGACATACTTTGCACAACTTGCTTGCAAATTTTGTGTAGTGTGTTATTTATGCTTGTTTGGAGTTTCCCATCAAAAGGGTTTGTTTCTGTGTTGTATGAACACTCTACTCCTACTAGCGTTTTTTGGATTAATTTCAGTTGGGTGATTTATAACTACAAATTTGTATGTCTTCTGCTTAATTTCTAGAATATATTTGGTCATAAAATAATGGGTTTCATGTAATTCAAAGCATGATCCAAATTACTGCCTTATTTTTATTATCCCTTTTCATTTTCTTGGGATTCATGGGTTTTTGAGTTGAGTTGAACTCAGTGGAATTTGTAGTATCCAATTTGTTCATAATGTTTATTTTTCTTTTATTTTTCTCTGGTGAAAAATTGGATTTGTAGGAGCTCTGAAGTGTAAATGGATTGTCTTCCTGTTTCCATATCGTAATTTAATGGTTTCTCTAATTGGTTAATGTTTTTAAAGGAGGAATCTGCTAATTTGGATCCTTATTTATTGCATATTTAATTAGTGGGTTAATGTTTGTCCGTTGGAATGGTCTTGTTTGGTGGGTTAATAGGATGATCAGGTGGGTCTTATTTGTTTTTCTGTTTTATTTATTTTTTGATACATCCATCTAGGTGGGTTTGCTTTGAAGAGGAAGGATTATGGAACAACATTTGGAAAGAGAATTCATTGTTCAGCACAGCAGCCTCCTCCAGCCTGGCCTGGACGAGCTGTTGTTGAGCCAGATCGTAAGAGTTGGGATGGCCCAAAGCCTATCTCGATCGTCGGATCTACTGGTTCCATTGGAACTCAGGTGAAATATTATATTTCTTCTATTACATAATAATAAAAAATTTTAATTGCCCTTTTTACTTGGGTTATTTTTGTAGAAGCAATGGGCTCTGATTAAACTTGCTCATAAGAAACTGTCAAAACTACTCTGTGTAATTCTTCTCCTTATAAAATATCTTATAGTGGCAGTTTTCGTTTCATTAGTAAGTTGATTACTTGATTATCTTCTCTTAGAAGCATTAGATGTCATGTAAATGGCCATGGTTCCATCCAATTTCATTTATAATGTAACAAGAAAGTCAAACAAGTACTAGGCATGTTTTCTTTGTTTTTGAGATTCTTCAGTTGCTCACAGTTGTAAGTTGGTGCTTTACAGACATTGGACATAGTTGCGGAGAATCCAGATAAGTTCAGAATTGTGGCACTGGCTGCAGGTTCAAATGTGACTCTTCTTGCTGATCAGGTGGTCAATCTATTATTTTCTAGTGTTGTATGGCACTGGACATGCTCTCATATTTTGAAATTGTAGAACTCTTGAATTGGAGCTGCTTAAACTTTCTTTTTGTGGTCATGGGAGAAACCATTTTTTTAGCAGCTCTGGCATTGAAGCTGCTAAAATTTGACTGAAGTTAGTTAACGAGATTAGGTTGACTGGGATTGCGAGAATGGTGGATTTGAGTGATGAGATTATTAGTGTGGTGATATTAAGTTGGAGCGTAAGATAAATGCGTTTGTTTTTATTTTAGTGTGGTGGTATTACTTGGTTGGCATTAAATCTACAAAATTATGTAAAAGTCCTCATTACATAAAAAGTGGCTTTTTTATTTTTGTAAATTGGGGGCAAAATAGTCTTTTCACCTTCAATCCCATGAGATTGGATTAGCAATCCCAACCCTGCCATGGGAATGCTAATTCCACCATTGAGGGGGATTGCAGTCCCGTGGTGTTTTATCACAACCAAACATGATTTTGTTGGGGCCTTAGATTGTCAATCAGTCCCACCCTCTAAGAGGCCAAACAAATGTGGCCTAAAAGGCTAGTCCCTAAATCTGTCAATTAGGCCTCTCTTTTAGATTTGATAAGCTTTCATGCAAAAACGAACTTTAGCTGCTACATGGAGTTGCATGTATCTCATTAAATTCCTGCAGTGCATGCATCTAAAAGGAAGAAAAAAGTGGAATAGAGTCCAAACCTAGTAGATTAAATTAAAGAGTTTCAAAAAATTGGCCATAGCATTTCTGATAGCCAGTTATCATACGTAATGATTGGTGCTCGTCTATTGTTAATTTGTAAGTACTATTTATTCCATTTATGAAAAATACATTCTCTTGAAGCTAGCTTATCATGATCCAGCAATGGGTTCTACAAGTGCCAACCCTTTTCTTAATAAATTGTTCTCGTTATTGTCTCATCAGAAGTCATGCACTAGATAAAGGCTTTTATTCACTGTGGAAACTTTGCTGATAAAACATTTTTCATCGTGTAGGTCAAGACATTCAAACCTCAATTAGTTGCTGTTAGGAATGAATCATTGGTTGATGAGCTCAAAGAGGCTTTGGCAGATGTTGAAGACAAGCCTGAAATTATTCCTGGCGAGCAGGGTGTCATTGAGGTTAGCCCATCTAGTTTCCTCACTCCTCACTCCTCACTTGTTTTTCTGAAGAAAAGCCGTTCTTCTCATTATTTTATGGATATTACATGTAATCTGTTTCCAGGTTGCTCGCCACCCTGATGCTGTCACTGTAGTCACAGGAATAGTAGGCTGCGCAGGTTTGAAGGTAAATCTACAAATCGTTTGGCTTAATTGTTTTTCCTTTTATCTTTCATTCTGGACAATTTTAGCCGTAACATATAGAGCCCATCTTTGATCATGATAGTGAGATCTTCTGGTTTAATTTTGATTTTGTATGTGAAATGCATCACGTAAAGTAAGAGTATTAACTTTTGGGGCAATTACTTACCAGTTGGACAGAT